ATTAATTTCACAGGAGGTCATGCAATACATAAAGCTGATTTAAAAAGTGATCAAGCTATTACCAGAAGATTACCTCTTTAATATCCTCTATGAGGACTTATCGTGTAAATTATCTAAAGAATTTCGAAATAAAACACGGAGAACATCTTATATGGGTAACTTTGGGTTCGGTTTATTTGGTTATCTCGAGACCAGATACATTTTACAGTCCAAGGATGATCTATATATCATAATATTCTTTGTACACTCATTTCCAGAATAGTTCCGGTATTTTCGTTTTTGAAATTTGAAATCAAGATTCTTTGTAAACTATATTCTAAATAAATCCTGCTTGAATCCTGGTTACAGGATTATTTGTAAACTATCTTCTGTATGAATCCTGCATGATTCTTAGAGGCTGGATTCATTTGTAAACTATCTTTCATATGAATTCTGTATACATCCTGTCTGCAGGATTCAGTTGTAAACTACTTTTTGTATGAATCCTGCATGATTCCTGAAGATAGGATTCATTTGTTTTCTTTCATATGAATCATGTCATTTGTAAACGATTTAAACTGTGAATCCTGAAATCCTGTCAGCAGGAATCATACATGTTGTATACGCGCATGTGATTCCTGCCTCCAGGATCCAGTGGTTTGATACATTTTTTGCTATGATTTTGAAAAAAGTAATACGTTCTTCACTATATGGATTTGAAAAGGTGATGCTCAATACTCGTATTGCTCAATGTAAATGTTTTGCAGTTTTATAGAAAATAAAGTATTATATGATTAATATATTTGATATACTACAAATTGAAAAAAGTATCCCTCATGTCTCATAACCAGTTGTTTTTCGTATGTATAGGTTTGATGCTTAATGTTATGTTGGTAGCTTGATCAATTTTAAACCCAAGATTTCACCAAGACCATAGTATATTTCAACCTCGATGAGAACAGGCCTAAGTTGACCAAGATATCAAAAGCGGTATGAGTCTTTACACCAAGATATACCCAATTCAATACAAAAATAGATACCATGCCTTTGTACACACTACAGTATATATATTTGGCAAAAACAGAAGTGTTGAAAAACTCACTTGATTAACCAGAGACCAGAATAAAATAGTTCCATCATGTGTTTTCCATTTACTCGATGTAACATTTCGTGGTTACTTAATCAAAGGGGTGATTACACCACTGACTATTGCCTTCATAACATTTCAATGAATATCTAAAAACTTCAATGCAATAAAGTGCGAATCGAAAAATATCAGAGACACAGAAGATATAATAACAAACATTTTATATGAAGTAGTATTAAAAGTAATGCAACTTTGTCAGATAAGCTTTGCGATTAACCTGTCAATGAATGGTTACTATCAATGTATTCTCTGATAAATAATACATGAAAAAATGTGGGTTAAAGTAACATGTACTTTAAGGAAGCCTTTCAGGTCAAAATGTAATGATTACATTACATAATATAAGACATAATCCATCAACCTTAACAAACTCTCGAATAAAATTATACGTGTCTTATCTTATATGAATATGTGTCAACTAGTTGCCGACAATTGAGATCTAACAGTTGCTGATAGTGAAAATATTAAACATACCATTGTAACGCATAGGTTTAATAGTTTACATAACGCTAAAAATCTGAATAAGATTCAGTCTTGAATGAAATTAACATGTACATAAAAAAGTGCAAAATATACTTATGCATATGTTTCAAGAGGGACACTTAGATGAAATTACATGACCATACATTATAACAATAAATGGATAAATATACGTGTTTACACATATTAACAGAAATCCTAGATATCTTGCAAAAAGTTGCAACATTAACATGGTCAAAATGTTCAATAATCTTTGTTTTTCCTTTTTTAATATAAAAACTTTTGAACGCATATTCCTTATAGTATACCACTCTAAGTCCAATTACAGTTGTATAACATGGGTCTATAACAACGATATACAGTGGACAGCGGTATATCTTCATCGTATACAACTCCTCCGTATACACTCCAGCGTATACCACTGTAGAAGTGCATTCTGGGAACTAATGAATAAAAAAATCATGAAAATTTTCATGATTTCCTAGAATCAAGCCCCGTCATAAATGATTCGAGATCAACATCAGCATTATTGAGTTGGCTATGGGATATTTTTTGGTTTTTAATTGTTATGATTGTGTTCGAATCAACTGTTATTGAACTTAGAGTGGCATAATAAAATTATATAATGGTTCATTCTGTATATCGTGCATTTTATACTCTCGTGAGAATATAATATATTCACTCGTTCGCTACGCTCACTTGTGAATATATCATATACTCACTCGAGTATAAAAACAATATACACACCCTGGGTATAGTCTGTCACGTGACTTCATGGATAACGTGTGCGCGAGTGATTCGCATTTTCTTTCGCTTGAGGTTTGTAATCACACTTTTTACATGTTTTAAGATTTTGTATCTCTGTGAAACTTGTCCCGTACCATCAATGTCTGAAGACGATCTAATTCACCAAATATCTCATCCAAGCGTGTCCCGGTTAAAGAGAAATTCGCACTTTTGTGTCTCGCAAAATGACGTGTGCGCGAGTAAATCGAATTTTACGAAGGATGGGTGCGCGAGTCTAACATATTTATATTCATTTTAAACAATTCTGCAAGCTAGACACAATATTGATTTTGTTACAAGGTGATTTAAAAACATATGAAAAGCATACCTTTCTCCCTTTGCAGGAAATATGTGTTACGCGGTATATGGCATACATTCATGGTTGCGCGGTATTTGTGATACGGGTGAATATGCCATACTCACCTGCGGTATATGGCATATTCTGCAGGTGAGTATGCGATATTCCGCAGTGAATATGCGATACATTGATTTCAGTGAATACCCGATACTCACCTGCGGAATATGTCATACTCACTCGCGGAATATGCCATATACCGCGGGTGAATATGACATATACCGCAGGCGAAAACGTGATACAGAAAGCCTTGATTTGATTGGTTGCGAGAATCGACTCTAAATGTAAAACTACGCTGAATTACAGATATAGTTAGTGCGTCGAGTACTAATATATGAATCCTGGATTGATTGAGTAAGTTTATTACGCGAGATTGGTGACTGATACTTCTGCTAAGTTAATATATTCAACACACAGTACTGTTGATTCAGTAATCATTATAATAATCTATAACGTTTTACTTGTTCGTTCAATCGATGCAATTGACAATTGCATATTTCCGTATCACGTTCTCATTGGTTAGTGTGTATGCCATATACCGCAGGTGAATCTGTCATACACCGCAAGTGAGTATGCCATATTCGTTGCGGAATATGACATATTTTTGTATCGTGTTTACCGCGTAATAATATGTACGCCTGCTACCACTGTCCACCAGGAACTCAAAGGTTCGAAGGCCTAGAGGGTGTATCCCTTCATACCTGGGAAGAACATAAGTATTTTTAAACCAAATTCAAATCATTTTTAGTAGGGGAGGGGGAGGTATCAAGATTTTACCCATCAGAATACCTTGCTTTGGGGACAAATGCATGGTAGTGACGGGAATCATTACCCAAACTATTTTGGGCGCAAATCAATTTTGTATTTGACTTTCTATTATGCTGTTCTTCAATTGTTTTTTTACAAATGGAGGATCTGAGTACACGAAAGCTCATATTATATTGCTACATTTATAGCGAACATTGATTTCTGAGTCTGTAAAAACAAAGTATGTGGGATCACCCTTGGTATACGCAGCTGACGAAATGGACCGGTATGGGTCAAAAGCTGGACCTGTACGGGTGAACTTTGGGGGTACTTAAAATCATTCGGAGGGATCATATATTTCAACTTATATATTACAACGAAGAAGTCAATATTGAGCAAGTTATAGCTGTTTTAAATTCAAATAAAACCGTTAACCCGTACCGGTCCAGCTTTTGACCCGTACCGATCCATTTTGTCAGCTGCGTATACCAAGGGTGGGGATGCGGAAGAAGTTAGAAGCTCCTATAATTATTTGATATTACTTGGTATCATGGGCTTCCCCTTACTATTCCTTACATGGTTCTGATCGTGGCGGATGCCGAGTAACCACATAACAACTCTGACCCCCCCCCCTTGTATGGGATGTCAATAAATGAATATGCTGCCGGTTTTATGAGACCGCCAAAAATTTAATTCAATTTTTGGTTCAAATTTTAATTCACCTGCAATGCCGGTGTAACAGGGTAGGATGTCCTATCAAATTATGGTCCTACTCTCCATTGATTTATATGGTGACCTTAATACAACTCTTTCCCTCATTATCTTATACGCAATCAGGGCTAGCATGGGCTTAGTTGAAAGCCCATGGGGCTAGTAAGGGCCGTAAAGAAAGGGGACCATAATCCCTGGGGGACCATCATTTCTTTCACACCGGACAGCCCTACAAGCTATTTCAAAACATTTATTGTCATTAAACGTAGACATGTATGTGCCATACATGAAACATCTACAAAATAGCAAACTATTCTTTAACATACTACTTTAAGATGACAAAAACAAATGTCACGTGAGTTGTATTCTGCCTTAGCTTGCAGAATTGTCTCAAGTGAATAAAAATATTTTAGACTCGCGCACCCATCCTTCGTAAAATTCGATTTACTCGCGCACACGTCATTTTGCGAGACACAAAAGTGCGAATTTCTCTTTAACCGGGACACGCTTGGATGAGATATTTGGTGAATTAGATCGTCTTCAGACATTGATGGTACGGGACAAGTTTCACAGAGATACAAAATCTTAAAACATGTAAAAAGTGTGATTACAAACCTCAAGCGAAAGAAAATGCGAATCACTCGCGCACACGTCATCCATGAAGTCACGTGACAGACTATACCCAGGGTGATACAGAAAGAACCATTATATAACCTCATAATATACATTGGGTTGCTAACACGTTGAAATCATCATCAAAAGTTTTGTCGTATAAGAAGAGAAACTTTGTCTTACCATATTAACTTCTGATATACTATCAAAACTTGCCACTGTGAGGTCTATGTCTATATGTAAAGCTTCACCTGAAATCATATATGAAATAAACATTTTAAATATTTTTAATTTCATAACACTAGGACACTTCACGTGTACATGTATTCAGGATACCGAATTCCATTTACATGCAAAATGGATGATCTTTCCAATGGTATATCACATTGTGGAACAATTTATTAAGGCTGTAACTGAAGTAAGGGGGTACCCTGGCCGCAGAGTAGTCTAGTTATAAACTACGAAGACGAACCGAAGTCGAACGAATGCAAATGGTAGAATTAAGAGGCGGGACTTATTTGGCACCCCGTAGTGTGAAATAAAGCGGGACAAAATGAAATTGTTATAATGAACCGGATGTTACATTCAGCATCAAATCGACGATCTCATCCTTATCTATCTTCTTAAGTCCAAACATAATACACCGGTGGACAGAACAGACATTCCCAGCAACCTTAAGACGCCAACCCATACCAATGCATTGATTAGGCGCTATGAGCTCATACTAGAACAATTAATTAAGGATACCCGCCTAATTGGCAGTTGATGTGAAGACATGTTTTGTGGTGTATAATGAAGCAGAAACCAATACAATCAATGACTGCAAACAACAGAAACGAAAAGCTCAAAGCTTATATTTGTAATTGGCTACCGTATGTGGACATGGTTGTGTAGTATGTAGATTTGAGTATACATTCGGTAAAAGTTCATCACAGAAATCCAGTCTGTATTTCTTGTTTAAGTAGATAAGCTTAAACCAGGTATATCATTCTTTGATATCAAGTTAAAGTTCCTCCATTAACGAACCAGTGAAGATGAGATGAAGGTTATGAATAGCACCTTCATAGCAAAGATTATCCAAATGTTTTATAATTTATCCCAGACCAACATCAATCTTCGAAGACAAGTAAAACCTAGCATTTAATACTTTTTTTCCAGGTGCTTACAAGCACACCCCTTGATCTTTCTCTATCCAACATGAAACAGATATCTATACCAAAATATTCCTTGGTAAACTTTGAAAAATAATGCATCCCTGCATCAAAGACATGCATTACCAATGCCCAAAGGGAAGAAAACGGAAATGGTACATTTCTAAAAATCTAAACATTCTAATCTATAATACGACTTTGAGCAACTCTCATGTAAATACTCGTTTTGAAGCACCGTTCAGAGATGACCTTGGGCTTGGAATGATGGAGATAGACCATTGATTACTTCAGATTCTGTTTACAGTGAAATAACCGTGTTTATTAAAGAACAACTTTGATGCTTTTCAACTCGACAGTAATGTTAAGTTCAAATACTACCAAGAGCGATTTATTAAACGAATTGTATTGATATAGTAAACAATTGTGTCCAGGCCAATTCTTAATTGGATATGCATTTGAGTATATGTTGTTTAAAATATAATAGAATTTCAATGCAAACACTATAAGCATTATACCATTATCGATAACCGTTTGGGTGTTTTCTTAACTGAACTGTATTATTATCATAAAACCAAATACAATTGATACAAGTACTAGCATCCGATATCTATTATAACCTTTGTCAACTTAAGTTGAAGGCAAAATCTGATTCGGATATGAAAACAATGTGAGGAATTCGCCTTAATCGAAGGTTATCCTTTGTGATTCGATCAGAGGAACCGTCGTGTTCTCGCCCCCAATTGATAAAACTCATGGTGCTTACTGTGTCTGTCAAGGTTTAATCGTGTGCTTTTACTGAAGCTTTAAGAAGTAAACATGTCCAATATCTGGATAATTCAATGGAGCTAATAAATGAAATCATAAATGAATAAATACAAGGAGCACTCGCGTCTCGAACTCGCAACCTCTTGGTTACGGCGCCCAATCGCCTATTTGAACGTGCTGGCGCTCAAGCCCTCTCGGCTAAAATAGATGCCAAAATGTATCCAGACACAATCGCTACTAGCATTTAACTATTTCACGGACTTTGACACTATGGCGGCGGCTTTTCGAATGGGATTTGACATTTTGACACTCTCATGGATTTTGTCTGATTGCTCACCATTTGAGAATGACTGCCCTGTCTTGTATGAATACTACTGGAGTATTTACATCTATTTTTATGCGAAAATATTGAAAATCTAATTGTAGATCAGTATTTGAAGAATTCAGCAATGAATGCAATGACAGAATGAATGTCACATTGTCTTAAGGTTGTCATTGTTACAGTGCCTAAAAGATGGATCGTATCTTCGTGTGTTAGATCATACATAGTTTGAAAATTTGATCTTTTGTTTTTGAATACTTTGCAATTCCACTTTGGCGATTGTACACCCCGGTTGTACATGCATATTTATGAATTTCTAATCTAGTAGATACGTACCCGAGTGTTTCAAATCAGTTGAAACTAAACACTCCACCTCGTACGATTTTTAATACCTAAATTCTACAACTACTTTAAAATGGGAGTGTTGGTCCTCTTTTTTGTTTGAGAATGGTGTGGAGAAAGAACGTTATACACTGTGTCCTTCAATGTTAGCTTATTTTGGATGCTTTTGGTTTGATTCTTTATGATTCCTTATGTTTACTTGGACATGAATGAGAGAAATCGGTTTGTAAACGTATGTCACGTTAAGGTGCATTTCTGTTTACAAATTTACTTGAGCATGACATATTTACCTGGGCATGAATGAGTTGAAATCGGTTTTTAAACGTATGACACGTTACCTATTTTGGTACATACCCTGCGCTTACACTTTTTATATGAGCATGAATGAGGGGAAATATACTTCTATGACTCTTCCGACTAGAATGTTGATTAAAAGTCAGTTGAACGTGTAAATAATGAGCTCATTGATACTCCCTCTCTTAGCTAACACCTTGGTATGACATTCCATTCCTGTGGAAATGTGGATGGAATCAGATTAAAGGTGTGAAATTCCGTACTGATGGAACTATAAAATACAAACTCCTTACAGAAAATGAATATCTTGAAAGTTTTTTTTAACGAGATGTAAACATGGCAAACCCATGGTATGGGGAATAAACATGGCAAACCCATGGTATGGGGAATAAACATGGCAAACCCATGGTATGGGGAACAGGTTGGTTTACGATTAATGGGATTACGACGAGGCACTAAAACGGTCCAATTGTATATTTCATAACAGCTTGCTTGATTGTTCGAATTCCTTGCATCCACATGTCTTATCTGAGATGTTCCTTTTTTGAAAGTAACTCAATTTGCAACATGTTTTTGAAGTTGCTTAAATCGACATCAAATATGTTTTATAGTTGTGAATGATTGATGAAAATGAATATTTCTGTTCGACATATTTTCATAAAAAACAATTCAGGAAGTGTCTACTAGAAACAGCTGGACTATACGAAATGCATATGTTTATCAGTTTAATTCATGAAATTCAAATACCTGTTGGGACAGGCTTTAATACTACAATACTATGCTGTTTCTTTTCTGTTTTCAGCTTTATCGTTTTTATGGCACAAAAAACCATACCTTGCGCACAGAGTCTAGTTATAAACTACCCAAAGATGAAGATCTCTTTTGAGAAGCGAAGTCGAACGGATGCAAAGGGTGCACAAAACATAGCATAATAATCAAAATAATACATAAAACGTATACACTAGGATATGATTAACTATTTATATTTTATAGTATATATGTTTCTTAAGATATATTCACTAAAACAATACATTAAACGTATACATTAGGATATGATTAACTATTTATATTTCACAGTATATATGTTTCTTAAGATATATTCACTAAAACAATACATTAAACGTATACATTAGGATATGATTAACTATTTACATTTCATAGTATATATGTTTCTTAAGATATATTCACTAAAACAATACATTAAACGTTACATTAGGATATGATTAACTATTTACATTTCATAGTATATATGTTTCTTAAGATATATTCACTGAAACAATACATTAAACGTTACATTAGGATATGATTAACTATTTACATTTCACAGTATATATGTTTCTTAAGATATATTCACTAAAACAATACATTAAACGTATACATTAGGATATGATTAACTATTTATATTTCATAGTATATATGTTTCTTAAGATATATTCACTAAAACAATACATTAAACGTTACATTAGGATATGATTAACTATTTACATTTCATAGTATATATGTTTCTTAAGATATATTCACTGAAACAATACATTAAACGTTACATTAGGATATGATTAACTATTTACATTTCACAGTATATATGTTTCTTAAGATATATTCACTAAAACAATACATTAAACGTATACATTAGGATATGATTAACTATTTATATTTCATAGTATATATGTTTCTTAAGATATATTCACTGAAACAATACATTAAACGTATACATTAGGATATGATTAACTATTTATATTTCATAGTACATCTGTATAAAATTATATGTTTCTTAAGATATTTTCGATTTTTCTCCCAGCTTCCTATTAGTACCTCAAAAATGATTGTTAATGTTACATATAAAATTCATTTTGGGATCTACTAAACATCAATGTCAGAATTTGTCACTTCATTTTACATAATATATACAAAAAGTATGGTTTAAAATGTGAACTGGGCCTATCGTTACCAAATTACTATAATTTACATCACGAATAGCAGATTTAAATAGTTGAATTGTAGATTGAAAATGGCTGTTAGAAAATTTAAATTTACAGTAGTTTAATGAAAACTGACATACACAATCAAACATCTTCCGGGTGATCTAACACTTTTCGTTTACTGTTAGCAAATAAAGGCACAATTTGATAAAAAGCAGAATTTAAATTATTTTCTTCCGTGAAGAGTTAGTAATCGATTAACTTTTTAAAATAAAATCGACACTCCTGTTGGCGTCGGTGGGTGCAATTTAATTATCAACGCATTTTTCTTTAATCAATTGTGATTCAAGCAATGTAGATAATTTGATTCACACGGTACAATTAATGTAGCTTCACTCATATATTTTCCCACGTCTCAGAAGATGTCAAAAATCATTTCTATATTAGTCAAACTCATT